TTATTTACCCAAACTATTTAAACCATAGCTAAAAAACTAGGAATCTTGGCTTTCCAAAACCTGCCATCTATACGACTATACGGCAAATATAAATTATACACTAGTCATTTGCATAGAGAATCCAACAGTAAAAAATAATATATATATTATTTTTTAATTATTTTGCTTCTCTCTATTTGATTAGTTTTAGCAAAATGACTTTTTTTTATGAAATATATTTTGAATGATTCATTTAATTTTTTGTTTTCTTTACAGATAATTATATATAGTATACAGTACTTGATTTATAAATTTTAAATAAATATAATCAGCCCCTTTTGAAAAATTTTATAAATTATAATGGTCACCAACATATTAGATTTCTTTTAAATTATATTTGTTAATTATTTTACCTTAAAAAATTATCTTATAAAAATATTTTTTTAAAATTTTAAAAATATACAGGTCAAGTAGGTCGACTCATAAAACCACAAGTTGACCTATGTTTGACATGTACTTAGGACATGTTCGAATTAATCCAAATGAATCACAGGTCTAATACTACTTGATCCTAATTCACTTTTTACGAATTAAGTTAGGGTTGAATTAACGAGTCAGGTGCAATTTTACCACCTCTAATTCTCATCACTTTGGTATATCGACAAAGCTTGCCTAAACTTTTGAAACATGATTAATTAGGTCTATGAAATTTAACTTTATTATTGTTATCCTTAAATTCTTAATTTATTTTATGTTAATATTTCACTTTGTACCTCTAAAATATTTTCTGGCTTCACCACTGCTTTTGCGTTAGTAATATTTTTTAAAAAATAATTTATTTATAATCTTATTGCGTAATAATTAGAGTCCTATATAATTATAAGTGACTCTTGTTCTTTTAATATATGGTATAAGACATAAATTAATATGTATTGATTAATTTAATGTCATATATAACTTATTATAAATTTGTTAATAATTTAAATAATTCAGTAACAATATTTGTTTAATAAAAAATAAAAAATTATCAATTTAAATTATATGATGTGTAAATATAGATAAATTAAGAAATAAAAAAATAATATCTTATTATATAATTTAAAATAAATAATAATAAATTTCATTATGAAATAAAATTGTGGAGGAATATGCTCTTCAAGTAGAACAACAAATCATAAATCATATCTTTTTATGTATTTGAAACTTAAATCACTTAACCAAAACAAAGGAAAAATCATTGAATGGGAGAGTTACGTGCAATTCATTTTACGCAAACTATGTGTTTTCTACGTACGTAATTCATTTTACACAAAATATGTGTTGTACGTATGTAATTATTAATACCTTCAAAGGTAAACTCTTTAATATTAGAAAAACTCCTCTCCATCAACGTCAATGATAAAACGTGAACGACTGCAACACGAATCTCTCTTAGTAGGGATATATATATATATATATATCTTGATTTTTAATAATTATATTAAATTTTAAATAATTTAAAATTAAATTACGTGAAATTTTATTAAAAAAAAAACTCTACCATCATTCATTTCTTCGTTCGTAAAATTTAAACTTTAAAATTTATTTTTAAAATATTAAAATTCTTACATTTATACCAACAAATCGTTGAATATTTTTTTTTTTCGAAAATAATCGTGGAATATTATCTCTACCCCGTCACGTATATTCTTTTCCTTCGTCAGCTAAACGCACACCCCCACGCGCTTTGCCACGTGCTTTTTTCCAGATTTTTCTCACGCTTCACAGCACGTGCAAGAAAGCGGCTTTCATCAGAACTCAGAAACACACCATCTTTCTCTTCTTTCTATGTCTGTGGATTCTTTAATTCGTCCGTGCTGTTCAGTCGGTTAAGCATAAACCCTCTTTTATTATTTTTTTTCTTAACTTTATTCTCTTTGTTTTATTTTTTGGGATGGAAAAGGGGATTATAAAGATGGTAATCAAGTTTTTAAAACAAATGGCACGAGGACTGCATAATTATTCTTTGTTTGTTGTTGTGGAACTTTGTTAAATGATTTTAAACTAATTTACGTTTGACATTTGTTAATTAAGGATATGATTAGATTTCTTGTGGAACGAGTTTACCGCATTAAGTCATAATTATACTTTTGTTAGTACTTATTTTAATCATAATCACTTTTTTTATTTTTTTTATTTTAGTTACATAATGAGATATTGATCATCTTTAATTTTTTATCTCATTCCACTTCGCATGTTACGTGACTCACATTTAAAACTTTTTATTTTTAATAAAAAAAAATAACTATTAAATTATTTAAATTGTTGACATCATTGACTTTATTATTGACCTTCATTCTCTTTAAAAAAAAAAAAGCAAAATATCCAAATCCACCCCCAAAATATAGTGATAGGGACAGATCCACTACAGAACAAAAAACATGAACAAATTCACCCATAAAATTTTTAACTTGTATAAATTATCCTAAATTTAATATGTGACATTATCTAACATCAACAACCCATTAATTCGTTAACGGATTGTTGACGTCAAATTAACAAATTACTATGTCAAATGATATCACACGTTAAATTTAAGGTGATTTATCAAAGTAAAAAACTTTATGGATGGATTTCTCTTCATTTTTTGTTTAGGGTGGATTTGTCTCTATCACTATATTTTAACGATAGATTTAGGTATTCTGGCCCAAAAAAAAAAGGTACAGTTTCATTCTCTTCCTACTCATAATACAAAACGTGTCAACTGTTAAGTTTCAAAAAAAATAAATCGTTTTATGGAGTATTAATGATCTTCCAATAATGGAGTATGTAAAGTAGGTATGTAAAGTAGGAAAATAGATTTTCTAACATTTACATGACATGTAGTAGTAAAACTCTCACATTCCAATTTCCATTCTCCACCACTGAAGATACCGTAAATGGGGGAAGGAAAGTTATTTCCAATATCAGTACAGCTTTTAATCCCACATTTCCAGTATCAATACAGCTTAGAAGTTAATTTTAACCTCCAATTTTCCATGAATGAAATGAAGTACCATGAGGGTGGTGGACCTGCTGGAGCCATCAGCCATGTATCGTTCCCATCTTTAATTATCACAACCAGAATTACGAGCGATTTGTGGTTTTGTGGTCGGAAACCGTGGACCCAGAACCCAGGACTCAGTCCCACCCATTGTCTGGATTCCACATCAGATGTCAGTCAGGTCCTAAAAAGTCAATTGTGTTCCAATTGAAAAGAAGTGTAAATTCCTTCTTTCATCCCTAACTTTCTGAAACGGAACACTTTTGCTTCGCTTGACAAAGCCCCAAACAAACTACACTGTAAATAAACAGTACCCTCAATTGCAATACTTTTTTTCCAGTACAAATTTTCATAATAGAAGGTATAGTAAATACCATTTTAAATGTAAACAGTCGTAGCTAAAAGTATCACAGAAGACAATTTATATTATAGTGCTAGTGCAATCATAACAATATTAATAATTTTAATGTACTTTATTATTATTTTTTTTTTTAATGTTCGTTAAAATTTGAATCTCATATCTTAAATTAATATAAGAAGGCATTTACAAGGGGTTAGGAACTACCCATAAAGCCATTCTCATTTTAATACACTCATTTATTTACTGTTTTTATGGTAAAATATAATTTATGTGGAGGAATATTGATTAATTGGCGAGTAGGAAACATAACTTAGGAATGAAGAAATTGGATTATATTATATGTTAAAATGTTAAAAAGAAAAGAGAAAGAACTGAGATTTGCGTTGGTGCCGAACAGAGAAATATTCCTTATTAGCTGCTGCCCTTGGAATGCCAAACTGTAAAGAGATACAATTCCTTCCATGACTTTTCTCGCATGCACTCCAACTTAGACTAAGAATCTCTATCTTGGTTTAATTGATTTTGTTGGGTTCATGCATGATTTGTGTGGTTATCTCACATACAGAGATATATGATTAAATTTTCCAAAAACTAAAACAATAAAAATTGTTAGAAATTTAATGCATAGGGCCGTAGGCATCCACTTGTGACAATCAAAACAGAGGCAACCATTCTAGTAACTCTGCAAATTCATCCAATTATTTAAATGGAATGAGAAAATTCAAAGCCTCTTAATGCTACTTAAATGTTAATAATAATAATGAAAAAATTAAAATATTTTTAATAAATTAATAAAAAAATTATTAAAAATATTTAAATAATTTTATAAATAAATAAAAAAACCTTAATATTTAAAGTGTTAAGATATTTTATTTTTTACTTTTTTTATTTAAATTTATTTATGTTTCTTTCACCCTTTTCTTTTACTCTGTTTACTTGGTCCAACATTTAAAATCCAGATTAAATGTCTCCCACAAATTGAACCCTAGCTTGTTCTTTCCCTGTCAAGGTCTACGTACTCTGTCGCCTGTACCGTCGACACCGAAAGTTCAACAATATGGTCCTTTTCGTTTTTGCCCTTATTTTTAACGTGCATGAAGGCGAACATAATCTGAAATCAATTAACACATTTATACATATTAATTCTCAAAATTTTCAAGTTTGAATGTTTCTTATAGTGATCTTGTATAACAGAACATACAAGATTTACTGACACATATTTGTGCAAATAAAATGAAATGTGCAGGAAAATAGGACAAATCCTTGGTCAAAAAGATTATGAACTCATGGTACAACAAATAATTACTTTACATTTCATGTGCCGTGGTCCAGTGGCCGCTTGTTGCCTCAAAAGGCGGCCCGTGATTTGCACTCTTAAATTTTGTGTTTAACATCCTCATTAACATTTCTAACATATTAATATTTAATTATTGTCTTTATTAAAAAAAAAAAAAACAAATAATTAACTTGAACTGTTAGTTTCATATTTTAATTCTCTAATATCCTTCTGCAGATTGCCTAATATTTTAACAAATTACTCCTTGATCCTCAAAACATTAATTAAATGTTCTTATTCACTAATATCTTGCTGATTCCCCCAACTCATAAATTGATAAAAACACCCCTTTCACAACACGGATCTCACCGACGGATTTGAGTTTCTTAAACTATTCCTCCTCTCTCTTCTTCTGTCCCTCCCCCTCACTGGCTATTAAAACCCTGACTTCTGAGGCATCACATTCACTCTACAATTCCTCATTAAGTCTGAAAGCAAAAAAGCAACCTTGAATCATGTCTCCAATATTTGTTCTATCTTTCCACCTTTCCCTCCTCCTATGTTTCACTTTACAGCAATGTTTCTTCACCTCCGCCACCGGTGGCAGCTGGAAACTTTTGCAGAAAAACGTCGGCGTATCCGCAATGCACTTGCAGCTGCTTCACAACGACCGTGTCATTATGTTTGACCGAACTGACTATGGGCCATCCACCCTGCCGCTGCCTAACGGTAAATGTCGGAATGACCAGAATGACTTGACGTTAAAAGTTGACTGTACTGCTCATTCGTTTGAGTACAATGTTGCGACCAATACATTCCGGCCACTTACAGTGCAGACGGACGTTTGGTGTTCTTCTGGTGCAGTGATGGCCGACGGTCGTCTGATTCAAACGGGGGGATCCAATGATGGTGAATTGAAAGTCAGGATTTTCAGCCCCTGCAAGGGTAAATGTGATTGGGTGGAAGTGTCAAATGGATTGGCGGCCCCGAGATGGTACGCTACGAATCACATTTTGCCAGATGGTAGACAAATTATTATTGGTGGTCGGGACCAATTTAATTATGAGTTTTATCCTAAGAACCCCTTCCCGGATTTGTTCGATTTGCCATTCTTGTCGGAGACAAATGAGCCTGTGGCGGAGAACAATCTTTACCCTTTTGTTTATCTCAATACCGATGGGAATTTGTTTGTTTTTGCAAATAATCGAGCAATTCTGCTGGATTATGTGAATAACAAGGTGGTGAAAAAGTACCCGACAATACCAGGAGCCGAAGCCCGCACCTACCCCAGCACCGGTTCATCGGTTTTACTTCCGTTGAGGAATATACAAGCTCCAGTTGTTGAAGCTGAAGTGTTGATATGCGGAGGAGGGGCAAAAGGATGCTTTGTCCAGTCAATGAAGGACAACTTCTTGCCCGCTTTAGATACTTGTGCTCGAATCAAGATAAATGACCCAAACCCACAATGGGTCATGGAGAAAATGCCGCGTCGTAGAGTCATGGGTGACATGATATTACTGCCAGACAAAAGTGTTCTCATCATCAATGGTGCTGCGTCAGGTTCCGCAGGGTGGGAACAGGGTCGGGATCCAGTACTCAACCCAGTCATCTACCGACCTGATAACACAATTGGGTCACGATTCGTGGTACAAAACCCGACCACGATCCCACGGATGTACCACTCCACAGCGGGCCTACTCGGAGATGGGAGGGTTTTGGTCGCCGGTAGCAATCCTCATGCTTATTACAACTTCACCGAAGTACTTTACCCAACAGAATTGCGCTTAGAATCATTTTCTCCGGACTACCTCAACGCAAAATTTAACAATATCCGTCCAACAATTGCTGCGCCGGTGAGTCAAGGAGTTCTGCATTATGGTCAACATCAAAAGGTACGTTTCAGCTGTACAGGAGCAGTGGTTCAGAATAAAGTTGAGGTCATACTGGTAGCACCGTCGTTTGCAACACATTCTTTCTCTCAGAACCAGAGACTACTAGTGCTTGGAAACAACAAGACAACTAAATTGGCAAATAACTCTTACGACGTGGAGGTGACCATGCCGCCGTCGCGTGTTTTAGCTCCGTCCGGTTATTATCTCATGTACGTCACACATCAAGGTATACCAAGTCAGGCTATTTGGATCCACTTAAAATAAAATGGTTTGTGTTCTTTAATTTCTCAGAATTTGTTTTCTTCAATCGTAATATTGTTAAAGACACGTTAGGCATATGCTGTTTTATCCATCATATTCTCAAGTTATTTTCAAGTTGTGCATATATGTATTGTAAAAGCTCATAAATTGTCATAATAATCAGTAAAATTGTGGATTGTTCTCTTTAGTTCTAAAATTTTGAGTTTAAGGTTGTGATTACTCATTGTGGATTGTTCAACATAATCAACAATACATGCAAATGCAACAAATCCTTCTGAATTCTTTAGACTATCTTTTATAAGTGTTGTGCTACTAGCTCTGTTGTAGATATAGGTTTTTTTTTTTTGTCTTTTATTATTTTGAAAATATATAAAATATTAGTTAAAATTAATTAAAAATAATAATTTTATATTTTTAGATAAAGTACTATTGTACAAAACACTAATGAACAAAGTGTTAGTCAAGAGATTTTCTTTTAAGGCTTCTTATTTTTATTGAAATGAAACACTTAACCATTAAATCATTTGAGTTGCTAGCCTTATTTAGCTACAAAATTAATTAAGGGCGTTTAATAATTAAGGGCATTTATAGCCCTTAAACTATGAAAAAACGTCCAGTTAGATTCCTTAACTTCAATTTTCTTCATTATAGTCTACACATTGGGTATTGTGGTGCCGCACTAACAAATGGCATCCACTAACAGAAAAATGGGGCAAAAATAACAGAAATTTTTTTTCTTAAAAAAAAATGCATATTTCTTTTCAATTTAGCATCGATCTAAGGCCAAAGGGTATAAACAATGAACAAAAAAGAAGTTTATAGACATAACTAAAGATTTTTTCATATATAATAATTCAGGGACTTATATCTTTTTACATGGTCCTTGGTCTAAGGTTCATATATCGGTCCCCGGCCTATGAGTACGAACTTTATTAAAGAAAAAGCAAAGAATATCGACCATCAGAAAAAGGAAAGAAGAAAAAAAGAAAAGTGAAAATCGCAATCAACATTTTTATTTCAAGGGTGTTGCTATAAAAATAATTTTTTTATCTCATTTTTTATATAATTTTTATATGTCATGAAATGAATAAATGTATTTAATATCACGAGTCTCATATGAATTAAAAAAATTAATTATTTTAATAACATATCAAATTATACAAAAAGATAAAATAAAAAAGTTATCCCAATATCATTTCTTTTATATTAATTTACAAATGGCCTAATTCATAAACTATTAGATATATCATATGCTTTATTCGAAAACGTTATTGAAACTTGGCATTTTTGTTAACGCCACTTGAAATATTATTTAATTGTTAAAAATAATTAATAGTATTTTTTTAATCTTGTATTATATAATAAGAGAAAACTATAAAATACTATTTCTTTTGTTTATTTTTTAAAAATTAATTTGATTTTTTAAATATTTATTTTAAATTAAAATTTAACCATTTATATAAATAATAATTGAAAAAAAAAATTCTTATATGAAATTCTTGTAAAGTATTTTAATTTAATAAAAAAATTTTAATTATCATTTATATACTATATTAAATTTTTATTTAAAAATTTAGAAAAACAAATTAAATCTAAAAAAACAAAGAAATAATAAAGTTAATCAAAATAAAAACAATTATTATATTATTTGTATAATCTTAAAA